TAACTATCAATAACGAAGGTCTTTTTTAGGTTCTAGCCTTGGGTTCAAACTACCAGTAATGAAAGGGTGGGCTCAAAACTACTGGTAAAGATTTTTTTAAAAAATTCTATTAGATTGTGTTCATAACTATCAGTAACAAAGGTCTTTAGGTTCTAGCCTTGAGTTCAAAACTACCAGTAACAAAATGGCGGGTTCAAACTACCAGTAGCGAAGGAGTGGGTTCAACACTACTAGTAAATATCTTTTTTTTAAAAAAAAAAAACTAATTAGATTGGGTTCATAACTACTAGTAACGAAGGCCTTCTTTAGGTTCTAGCTTTGGGTTCAAACTACCAGTAATGAAGGATTGGGTTCAAAACTACCGGTAATGAAAGGGCGGGTTCAAAACTTCTGGTAAAAATTTCATTGGATTGGGTTCATAACTATCAATAACAAAGTCTTTTTTAGATTCTAGCCTTGGGTTCAAAACTACTGGTAATGATCTAAATATTATTGGATTGGGTTTATAACTATAGTAACGAAGACTTTCTTTAGGTTCTAACCTTGGGTTCATAACTCCGATAATGAAAAGTTGGGTTCAAACTACCAATAACAAATAGTTGGGGTTCATATTGTGTAAATCATGTAAAAAAAAATTTTAAATCTTGATTGTATTGATCGAAAATTTTATATTGTACAAATTATGCTATTTTATGTAAAATGTGTATTTTTTTAGTTAGTTACTAAACAAATAAAGATTTGCTATTCTAAATTTGTATACAATATGTAAATCATTAAAAAAGTTTATATTGTATAATATTTTGAGGCATTATTTTGAAATAATACAGTAATAGATTTATTTAAATTTTTACCAAATTTAGTTTAGTTAAATTGTATTGATTTTATTTATTACATTTGTATTATTATTATAGGTATTGTTAAAAAAATTTCATGTACAGTGACATTTATAATTTAGTATTATTATAGAAATATAAAGACAATATAAAAATAAAATCTTTATTTTGTTGCATAAAAAGTTCTATATTTAATTTTTTAAACAATATTTATAATAAATTTAAGTAAATTACACAAATTTTGTTTTTATTTAATTGTATTTATTATGTGAATTGCATAATTATTGTTTTTATTTATTTAATTATTATTATTAAATTTATATATAAAATAAATTGATTTAGATTTTAAATTTTTAATTTTTTTACAAAAATGTCTATCTTTTCTTTAAATCAAAATATTTTTGAAGAAACACATATAGAAAATACTTAATTATAATCAGATCTTTCAAATTTACAATTTCAATTTTTAACTTTAGAAAATAACTTACCTTTATCTGAAACATCTGAAATTATTGAAGATATAGAAATTAATTCTTTAGAAAATGAAATATGGACTAAAGAAGAAATTACAAAATTTGAATTATTATATTATAAAACAAAAGATATTTTAGAAAAACAAGAAGATAATCAAAAATTTGAAGAAGAAATAAGTTTATTACAAAATAATGATTTTGAAGAATTATTTAAAAATAATTGTTGTGAAAAAAATTGTTTGCAATCTAATTGTGATTATTCTGTCGCTTTAACTCGAAATTTAAATTTTAGAAATCTTTCTAAATCTTTTCAAGATATATATTTATTAGGTATTATTGCTGCTACCAAATGATCTGAAATAACTCAAAATAATTTAAAAAAATCAAAACTTACTACAAAATATGTTTTTGAAAGAAAATCAATTTGTTTTAATGCTTTTAAAATAATTTATGGAATTGGTGATAGAAGATGGAAAAGTTTATGAGAACATTTTAATAATAATGATATTACTTTAAGAATTAATTCAAAAACTGGAAAATTGGAAATAGAGCATTATCTTTTGAAATAGTTATGAAAGTTATTACTTTTATTGAAAATTATGCTAAACAAAATAGTTTTCCTTCTCCAGGTATTATCTAAATTAATTTTATTAATTAATTATTTATTAATTTATTTAATTTTTTATAGAACGAAGTTTTCGTAATGATACTGTTGCAATTATATATTTACCAGCAAATATTACTTATTCATCTTTACATATTCAATATTTGGAAGCTATTGGTAAAGATCATCAATTTGAAGTTGGACTAACAACATTTTATAAAATTTGAAAAAAATTTTTATCACATATTAAAAAATTAACTTCACGTAGTGATTTATATTTAAAATGTAAAAATATGAGATTTAATGCAAATTATTGGTCTATTGAAGAAAAAGATATTAAAGTTTTAGAATAGCATAAACATATTGAATAGGCAAATAAAGAATAAGAAAATTATAAGTAAGTAATTTAATAATTTTATTTTATTAAAAAATATTAATTTTTTTATTTTTTTTTTATTAGAAAATATATTAAAATAGCATATGAAGATATTAAAAATTTTGGAATTAATAATTTAATATGTCCTGGAAAACCAAATTCACTAGATATTACAATTCATCTTTCTTGGGATTATGCACAACAAATTCAACTACCATATTCATCACAACAAGAAGTAAATTAATTTTAATTATAATATTAAATAATATAATTATATTAATAATTTAAATTAATTTATTATTAGAGTGAAATTTATTTTAAATCTTTATATAAAGTTCATTTATTTGGAATATGTAATGATGCCTTTCCATACCAAGTAAGTATTATAGTAGATTAAAATAAAAGATAAAAAAAATAATTAGATTTTAAAAATTAAATATAGATTTTAAATTTTATTTTAATTTTATTATAATCTAAAATAAATATAAAATTTTTATTAAATTAATTTTTATATTAAAATAATTTATAATTTTTATAGGTAAATTATTTTATTAAAGAAAGTGAATTAGTTGGTAAAGGTGCAGATACTGTTATTTCTTTAGTTCATAATTATTTTGAATTACATAGTTTAGGTGAAAAAAATTAGTAATTCATGCAGATAATTGTGCAGGACAAAACAAAAATAATGCAATGATAGCATATTTAGCTTGGAGAGTTTTAACAGGATTACATGATAGTATAATCTACTGTTTTATAGTTGCAGATCATACTAAATTTAGTCTTGATGGATTTTTTGGACTTATAAAATTACAATTAAAAAAATCTGAAGTAGATAATCTTGATGATTTAGTTAAAGTTGTAGAA